TATCCCCTCGGCAGCTAGCGGCAGCACGCCTGGCCCAGGGCTTGGGGACCGTGGCTGCAGGGACAGACCCCATCCCACCACCTGGAGTGCGTGCAGAAGCAGACCCCAGCCCCTCGGTGAGTACCCGCTGCAGCCCAGGCTTCTGGGATGGGCTGCTGGCTCTTCACAGAGGCAGGACTCCAACATCCTTGTCCATTTTCAGTCTGCAAGGGCTGGTGGCCTGATTTCCAGGTGTGCTCAGGGTGCAGGCCTCTCAGTGAGCACTTGGCTACAGCTGGTCCAGCCTGTCGTTCCAAACAAGAGAATCAAACAGTGGGAATCATGGACCTGAGAAATGCTCTCCACTGTGCCCAGAGATGCACCAGGATGGTCAGCACAGCACTGTGCTGGAGGACAGCTGACGCGGTCCAGCCACAGGAGCAGCGCTCAGCCAGCTGTGGTCCCCTGGCATATTGAATCCAGGCTCAGCTTCAACAAGAACAGAGTGAACACATTTCCAGAGTTCCAGGGCAGAGGCCCGGCTCTGGGGGTCCCAGTGGACTGAACCGGGCTACCCACTCCAAGACGCCAATCCAAGACCTGAGGGTGGCAGAGGCAGGGAAAGAGCTTCAAGGGGCTCAAGGACATTGAGGTTTTATAGGAAGGGACATGAAGGCCAGGGTTGGGTTTTGCACAGGTGGGGGTCGCAGACCTGGCAGACGGGGTGATCTTGGTCAGGACTGTTCGATCATTATTTCGGGATCAGTCATGCAGGGCTTTGTTGTGATAACAAACTTACTGTCGTCCCAGCTGCTCGGGAAGCTGAGGCAGGAGGATCACAAGATCAAAGCCAGCCTCAGCAACTTAGTGAGACTCCGTCTAGAAATAAAAGGGGTGAGGATGTGGCTCAGTGGTAGGTCACCCATGTGGTCAATTCCTGGCCTCCCTACCCCACAAAAAAGAAAGTTGCTGTTGCCTGGGAATAGCTTTGCCTCTTGTCAGAAGATATTCTGTGAGACTTGTTCCTGAATCCAAAGTGACTGCAGAGGAGGGTGGTTTAAGAGAACTCAGAAGGAAAAGACCAAGCCAGAGAGGCAGTCAGAGTCAAATGGGCCTCCGTCATACGGAGCTGCAGTTGTCAGCACCACATGCCTCCAGACTGGGTGCAGCCTGGCACGCGAGAGGCCCTGGGGACAACCCTAGTGCCACGCTCATAGGAAAGAAGATAAACCTAAAAACAGGTGGAACGTACCAGTCCAGATGTCTGATACTATTACGCAAGTTGTTCCTGGAATCCAAGGCAAGGCAGGGCAAAGGAGCCAGAGGCAAACTGGGGCGGAGGTGCCGAGTTCCCTACCTTTGCAGGCCCCGGTGAGGAGTCTGTGTCTTTAGCAAAGGCAGGTTCCAAGTCCCTGTGACATTTCCTTAACCGGAAGTCTGATGTGCCAGATGTTGGTGTGGAATCTGCACCGTGGGTTCGTGGGCACGTCACGGGCAGGACCTGTTTTATATGCTTGAGCCAGTCTGCAGTTGAGAAACGTCCTTATGCTATTTAGGTGGATCAATGGGCTGACCTGAGTCAGTGCAGCGGGGCAGGCAGAGACCCCGGCAGGAACACAGCTGTAAACCCAGCTCACCCACAAAGCCAGGGTGCCCAGGGCGTGCTCCTGGGGGGGAGGGTGCAGGTGACCTCTGGGCCATAGGTTGAGGTTTTACAGGCAGGTCTGCGGGCCACATGCATAGCCAGTCTTCAGGGGCTTGTGAGGCCAGTGGCGGAGCCGACTGGGACCCCTCCAGGAACATGTCTCTCCCGCCATTTGCTCTGCTTCTTCCCCTTTTGAAGCCCGTGCCCCCCCCCCCCAGCTGCAAGGCGAGGGCCTCGGGCTTCTTTCTCAGTCTGTTTCTGCGGTGCTCTCCTGCCATCTGTATCGCTGCCCTCGCATCTGGAGCTGCTACAACAGGGCCCCTCGCTGGGCTGCTTAAAACAACAGACTTTTATTCTCTGACAGTCCTGGAGGTCAAAGCCTCAGGTCAAAGGGCTCCTGGGAAGAGCCCTCCTGCCCTCTGGCTTCTGGAGCCACCCTTGCACAGTCCTGGCTTGAGCCCTCTCTGTCTCCGTAGTCACTTGGCCTTTTTAAATTTTATTTTTTTTGGTGGTGAGGATTAGGGAACCAGGGGTGCTCTACCACGGAGCTGTACCCCCGGCCCTTTTAAATTTTTATTTTGAGACAGGGTCTCCCTAGGTTGGCCTGGAACCTGCCCTCTCTGAGCTGTTCTCTCCCACGACGTGGGCAGCGTCCTCCTGGATCCCTGAAGCCAGTTCTTGGGTTCCAGCCCTCCTGTGCCCCTTCCAGGTTGTGGCAGCACCCAGGCATGGCGGAGCTGTGCCGCACAGACTCCACGCTGACGTCCCTGGACGAGGAGACGCTGTGGGAGCTGATGGAGAGCCACCGCTACAAGATCGTGCGCAGCATCTGCCCCAGCCGCCTCACCCCCTACCTGCGCCAGGCCAAGGTGCTGGGCCAGCTGGACGAGGAGGAGGTCCTGCACAGCCCCCGCTTCACCAACAGCGCCATGAGAGTGGGTGAGCCCGGAGGCGCGCCGCCAACTGGGCCCCAGCACCCCCAGCCCTGGATTCCAGCTGGGCTCTTCCTGCCCAGCCAGAGCCACACACCTGGCCCCTAGCCGTGAAGCCCTCCAGCAGGGCCAACAGCAGGGCTGGGAGCACAGGCTGCACAACACCGGGGGGACGGGAGTTGCAGACTTTGGGAACACTGTTAGTCCCCTAGGGCCACCCGACCCTGAACACGATGATTTAAAACAGCAGCAATGGGGCTGGGTGCAGTGGTGCACACCCGTGATCCCAGCGACTCCGGAGGCTGAGGCAGGAGGATCCCGAGTTCAAGGCCAGCCTGGACAACTTGGTGAGATCCAGGCTCAAAATGAATCATAAAAAGGACTTGGGGTGTAGCTCAGAGCCATCCCCAGTACCAAAGACTTGGGGTGTAGCTCAGAGCCATCCCCAGTACCAAAGACTTGGGGTGTAGCTCAGAGCCATCCCCAGTACCAAAACAAAACAACGACAAGGACACTAACCAGCAACGGGGTGGAGGGTAGCTCAGTGGCAGAGCACACGCCTGAGGTGAGTGAGGCCCTAGGTCCGACCCCAGCACCAGCAGCACCCACAGACGCACACTGGATGAAGTGTCTGCTCATGGGCCAGAAGTCCGACATCAGTGCCGCAGGTCGTGCTCCCACTGGAGGCTCCAGGGAAGGACCCTGCCCGCCTCTTCCATCTTCTGTGACTCCAGGTGTCCCTTGGCTTGTGGCCCCATCACTCCAGGCTCTGCCTCCCCCTTCACAGGGGTCTTTCCTCTGTGTCTTGTCTCCTTGGGTCCCTGGATTTTGGGCTTACCTGCTCTCGTGGGATGGTCTTACCCCAAGATCTCTAACTTAGTTACATTTGCAGACCGTGTGCCCAAAGGAATTCACACACAAAGATTTCAGGTGGACATATCTGGGAGCCCACTACAGATGTCTTTGGAACCCACTCCGGTGGTCCGACAGGCTGTGTTCACTTGTCCCACTGGACATGCTGATGGCTTTACCATAGAAGATCGTTAGGAGAACTAACGAGTCACAATTGAGGAGACACTCTTTGCCAAGCCTAGCCATAAAATCAGGCAATTAGTGGTAGCTATTAAGGCTATGGTGTGTATGCCTCTTGGTTTGTAGATGAATCCAAGCTATTAATTGAGTTGAGAAATGTAAGATTTGGGCCTGGGCTTGGGGGCCCTCAAGGCTCTCTGGGGCTCCCCTTGGTATTTATGGGCGCAACCCCAGATGTGTCTGTGCGTGACCTCGCCCTGCATGCCTAACCCTGGGCAGAGCTCTGGAGTTGCTGTAGCAGCGAGTTTATAAAAGTGGACTTTGCCTTGTTAAGCTGAGCGGGGTCAAGTCATCACAAGGGACCTACTCCATGAGCCTCCAACAGAGAGGGCTCCTCTCTCCCAGGACCTCCACCTCCTCACTGCCTCCTCACTGTCCTCACTGTCCAGGACACTCCCGCTCAGCCCTCCCTCGCAGGAAGCCAGTCCTCCCGCCCTGAGCCCTGGTAGCTAAGTGATGGTCTCTCCCCAAGGGCACCTGCTGGACTTGCTGAAGGCCCGAGGAAAGAATGGCGCCATCGCCTTCCTGGAGAGCTTGAAGTTCCACAACCCTGATGTCTACACGCTGATCACGGGGCTGCAGCCCGACGTGGATGCCAGCAACTTCAGCGGTGAGAGCAGGGCCTGTGTCTGGATGGTGGGCACCCCCACACTGCTGTTACAGGACTTCCCCCAATTTCCTCTTGATGGAGGCCATGGTCTGTGTCCCTGCACCCCTACTCCATGCACTGGATGGGCAGGAAAAGGACCCTGTAGGGCCCAAGGTCCATCTTCACTCACCCAGCACTGTAAGAGCCCTGGGAGAACCTGCATCCCAGAGGGGAGAGGCACAGGCCGGCCTCTCTTGGAGGCCAATGAGACAGCACCGTCCTGGGTCCCAGATCTCAGACGGGCTGAGAGGCCCTTTCAGAGGCAGAGGGAGCAGAACCTGTGGCACCCTGGCACACCTGTCTAGGTAAAGGTGGGGCCTGCTTTTATTTAACGCACCCTGCTGTTTATTTAACCACAATACCAAGTGCATGGAGGCCTGGAAGCTTTTACCACAAACAGGTTAGGGCCGGGGCCTGCCTGGGGGTTGGGATGCAAAGACTGGAGGCTGGAGACGAGGGGCAGGCGAGGTGGCAGCGCCTCACCCCTGCCCTCCACCCCGCAGGCCTCATGGAGACGTCCAAGCTGACCGAGTGTCTGGCGGGGGCCATCGGCAGCCTGCAGGAGGAGCTGGCCCAGGAGAAGGCCCAGAGGGAGGCTGTGCTGCGGCAGTGCCAGAGGTTGCAGGAGCGCCTGGGCCTGGCCGAGGCCCGTGCCGAAGGCCTGTGCCAACTGGAGGCCGACCACAGCCGCATGAAGAGGGAGCTCAGCGCCCACTTCCACGAGGTGCTGAAGCTGAAGGACGAGATGCTGAGCCTCTCGCTACACTACAGCAACGCGCTGCAGGAGAAGGAGCTGGCCACCTCGCGGGGCCGCAGCCTGCAGGAGGAGGTAGCAGGGACAGCCTTCGCTGCGGGTGGTGGGCCCAGCCTGACTCTGCTGCTGCCCACCCTGGGGCCTTTACCCGTCAGTCTGCCTGCCTGGAGACCTCTTCCTTGTGCACACCTCCCTGCCCACCCTGGACTGAGGCCCTCTGGGAAGTGGATCCCAGCTCTCCCAGGGGCCTCCTGAGGTGCTGTGCTGAGCCCGCACGGCAACGAGCCTGCCCTGCCCTGCCCTGAAATTCCCCGTGGCCTGGATGGCCTGGTGTGAGCTGCCCACCACAGCATCTGGAGGCAGGTCTGGCTATGCTGGGACCCAGATTAGAAGACCCACCTTGACCACTGCCCCAGGAGTGCAGTGACATCTCTGTCACCTGCCTTTGTCCTCCGCTGGCTCTGGGTTAGGGTAGTGCCTTCAGCTCATTTTCTCTTGGGAGACTGTCCTCTTATTGATTCATAAGTGCTCTTTCAATATTGAGGATTATCCTGTGATCTTGGCCTTTATTTTTGCTTTATTTTGTGTTGGTGCTAGAATTCGAACTTAAGTATGTGAAGCATGTGCTCTACCAGGGAGCTACACCAAGCCCCCAGGTGTTTGTTTTAAGTTTTGAATTTTAACTTTTTATTTAGAAATAACTTCAACTTTATTCTTTTTTTTTTTTTTAGAGAGAGAGAGAATTTTAATATTTCTTTTTTAGTTTTCGGCGGACACAACATCTTTGTCTGTATGTGGTGCTGAGGATCGAACCCGGCCGAACGCATGCCAGGCGGGCACGCTACCGCTTGAGCCACATCCCCAGCCCCAACTTAATTCTTAAAAAAATCCACAATTAAAATAGTACAGAGAGGGCTGGGGTTGTAGCTCAGTGTGGTAGGGCACTTGCCTTGCATGTGTGAGGCACTGGGTTCGATTCTCAGCACCACATATAAATAAGTAAATAAAATAAAGGTCCATCAACAACTCAAAAAATATTTTAAAAAAATAAAATAGTACAGAGAATACCTTATGGTCTTATGTTCATAAGGGCCGTCTGTACACACACACCCACACCCCAACTTCAGAGTTATATCCGTGGCCTTTATATATATATATATTTAGTTGTAGATGGGCCAAATATCTTTATTTGTTTATTTTTACGTGGTGCTGGGGCCCGAACCCAGGGCCTCAGGCATGTGAGGCAAGCGCTCTGCCACTGAGCTACATCCCCAGCCCATACCTGTGGCCCTCTATTCCCAAACATTGAAAAGTGTATTTCCTAAAAACAGGGTGTTTTCTTATGTAACCACACAGCTCTCTTTTCTGTTAATTTGCATCGATGTGGTCTTTCATCCCCTGTGGCCTGACGCCCTCACTTACCCACATGGAGTCAGTCCCCTGTGGCACTTCTCTCCAGCCAGGGGCAGGCGTGCGCCTGCTTGTCCTGCCTCGCGCAGCCTCTTCAGTCTGGAACCTCCCACAGCCCTTCTGGGCCTGGGGGGACGCGATGATTTTGAAGATTACTGATACTTTCATGGCAGAGTTGGGGTCTGTCTCCTGTTTCCGAGAGAGGGTCCGAGGTTCTGTACCTTTGCTGGGTCCGCTGGTACCGCCTGGAGGCATGCTGCTGGCCGCCCGTCAGGGGCTGCTGCTGTTGACCATCTGGTCAGGTGCCGCCCGCTTCCTGCATGACAGAATCGCCATTTCTTTCTCACCCCTGCAACTAACAGGCCATCTGGGGAGGCTCTTGGGGACCAGCAAGTGTCCCCTACTCGCCAGCCTGTCCCAGCCTGGGCCGTGGTGGTAGCCTGGGCAGCCGCTGGCCTTGGCTCCCGACGGGAGGTGCCTCCCCTCCCCCAACTCGTGCACCCTCTTCCAGTGGTCTTGGCTGGGGGGCGCCCTGCTCCATGCCCTGGGATGGCCCCTCACTTTCCGAGCTCTGGCTGCCTTTCCGGCGGGGACCCCTGCGTGTGAACAGCTGGAGAAGCCCCCAGGCCCCCGTCCTGGCTGGAAGCTGCTCACCTGGCGTCCTCGCCCTCCTCCCTGGACAGCTGTACCTGGCCAAGCAGGAGCTGCAGCGGGTGCAGATGGAGTCGTCCTGTGCGCGGGAATTTCGAGAGAGGTCCCTGAAGATGGCCGACGACCTGGAGGAGGGCGGTGAGGAGCTGGCCCGCCTGAGGGAGGAGAACGAGAAACTGCGCTCGCTGGCCTTCAGCCTGGTAGGCTCCGCCCCCTCCACAGGGTCAGCTGCTCCCCTGGGCGCCAGCTGGGGCTGTCCACATGTGTGTGCGAGCTGGGGGTGGACCCAGGCCTGGCACACACAGCCCTCCGCCACCTTCTCGCCGCTTCCCTCCTCTTCCCCAGCCGGGCAGACGCTGGCAGGACTCAAGGCCGTTAGGAGGTCCAGCTCCCTCGGTCACCGCTGCCATGTTGCATTGGAGTCGATTGAGCCAGTCACAAAAGAGGGGGTTAAGTCTGAGTCTCAGGGAAAGGAACCAGGCTCAGTGGCACACCCCAGAAATCACAGCAGCTCAGGAGGCAGGCAGGAGGATCACAGGTTCAAAGCCAGCCTCAGCAATTAGCAAGATCCTGCACAACCCAGTGAGACCCTGACTCTAAATAAAATTCAAAAAAAGGGCTGGGGATGTGCTCCGAGGTCGAGTGCCCTGAGTTCAATCCCTGTATCAAAAAAAAAAAAAAAAAAAGCAGATATTTAGTGAGAAATGCCCTCTATAAACACCACCGGCCACCTGGCACACCATCATGCAGCCTGGCATGTGCCATGGTTCTGGGCTCCTTCTGGAAGGTGCTGAGCCCACCCTTCGGCTCGTCCCTCCTTCAAGCTCAGTGTGTGAAGGAGAAGGTCAAAGGACTTAAAGAAGTTGTCCTTCAGACGTCCCCGGCTTCCTTTTCCCTCTGACTCCTTGACCAGGCAGCATTAGAACTGAAACGTCTTTTCCCAAACGTGACTGGGGCCTTCCCGAAGCTTCTTCCTGCCTGGTGGTCAGTAGTGGGGTGACCCCCCTCCACACCCCTGGCCTCGAGGGCTCCTGCTCCGGGGGCCTTTTCCGCAGCCGGGGCCCCTGGGGAGCTCAGGCCTCTCTGTCCACCAGGCAGAGAAGGACATTGTGGAGCAGAACCTGGACGAGGCCCTGGAGAGCAAGCAGGAGCTGGTGGACCGCATCCACTCGCTGCGGGAGCGGGCGGCGGCCGCGGAGAGGCAGCGGAAGCAGGTGAGCAGCAGCAGCCCCCCTGGGACCCGGTGACCCCAGGTCTGCAGGCTGCATCTGTGGGAAGACGGGCTCCTCGTCCTTGCTGGGCCGTCGGGTTTGCTTACCCAGTTTGCTGGCACATTCTATCCGATGCTGGGTCAGAGCCAGGTCAAGCCCAGGCTACGGCCAGGCAGAGTCACTGAAGTCCAGGGTGATTTCTAGGGTTTGGGGAGGCCAGAGTGACAGCCAGGGATTTAATGGAGGGGAGAACAGGGAGAAAGGAGCCGTGGGAGGGGATGAGGCCAGGTGGGGGAAATTGTAACTTCAAGCTACACACCACCTGGTGCCGTGCTTGCCGGGCCTGAGCTCAGGAGGGCTCCTGTCACACCCTAACCCCGCCCTGCAGAAACCAGCAGGAGTCCACTCTCCTCCCTCTGGAACCACCTGCCCCCGCGCTCCCCGCCCCTCCCCCACCCAGGCCCTCAGAGCCACTGACCTCCAGGGCCCTGTCCCCTCTGTCTAGTACTGGGAGGAGAAAGAGCAGACCCTGCTCCAGTTCCGGAAGACACAGATGGACTGCGAGCTGTACAGGGAGAAGATGAACACGCTGCAGGGCCAGGTGGCCGAGCTGCAGAAGGAGCGTGACCAGGTACCCCGGAGCTGGGCCAGGGCCAGGAGGACACACAGGCCACCCTCACTCCTCGCTGGTCCAGCTCGGGAGCCCGTGCCACCTCTGCTGCCTCACACTTGTGTCTGGGTGAGGCTGAGGGCTGCTGGTTGGGGGACACTCTCAGGCTCTGCCTGTCCTCGATGGAAGGCTGGTTCCAGACTTCAAGGTCCCTTTCCTTGGTCTACACGAGGTTTCTTAACTCCCCCACCTCCGTTGTGCGCCACTACACGCTCTGCCTTCGTTCCCGGCACAAGACATTAAGAAAGTCCACCCCAGATGGTGGCTTTTACTAAAACCACATGTGCACACACGGAGTGAAGGGGATGGTGTGCGAGTCTCCTCGCTGGGAGAGTTCCCGGGAAATGCCCACCAGCAGTGGTGCCTTCTCCAGCTGAGGCCCCCTCGTCTGATGGCCCAGCCTCCTGACTGTCCTGTTCTGGCCCACAGGCGTACTCTGCAAGGGACAGAGCCCAGCTGGCGATTTCTCAGAGCCTGGCGGAGAAGGACTCCCTCCGCAGAAGAGTGTTCGAGCTGACCGCTGAGGTCTGCGAGCTACGGGCAGAGCCCACAGCAGGCGTGAGTGCTCTGTGGCCAGCACCAGGCTCAGGGCTGTTTCAAGGAGGCGGCAGGAAGGGGGCTGGAGAGGAGGAGCTGAGCCCAAGCTGGGCCACAGCAGCCCCGGGAAGGCAGGCTGTCCAGCTGTCCCTCTGCCTGCCTGCCGGTTCCCACACGCAGGTGGGGCTTTGACGTCTTGACGAAGCACACGGGCACACCCTTTTCTGAAAATACCAGCCTGTTACAGACGGGGAGGGTTCGCAGAGGTCCGGGGCCTGGTGGAGAGCGGCTCCATGGGCAGCCGTGCATAGATGACACTTTCCAAAATGTCAGAGTCGTGTCCAAGAGCGAGTAGCAAAGGGAGCTCTGGTCCCAGAGATCAGAGTCCTCTGGTCCTGGACCACAGGCAGTGCTGCCCAGGCACCCTGGGGCTGGGGACTCAGCAGAGGTGAGTGGGGGGGCAGCGGCTCTTCCTCCTCACCCCAACGGCATTAGACACACAGACAAGTAAAGGGACAGCCACCAAGAGGCAAACCATGCTCCTTGTGGGTGTGGAGCTCGGTCCCTTCCGGGCTCTCTTCTTTCTTTTTCTCCTCTGCTCTTATTTTTCGTGGCATTGGGGACAGAACCCAGGGCCCTGGGCTCGCTAGGCAGAGTGCTCGGTCACTGAGCTGTCCCCCAGGCGCCCTGTTTTCTGTGTAGAATACACATTGTGTTAAGTATCTATATAGCGCGTCTTTACTCACGCCTTCTCTAAGACGCCACTTCTCCAGTGCTGCTGGTCTCCTTGGTGGCTGGCTCCTGCGCGCTGGGGTCCCCTGCTCCGAGGACAGGGGTTGTTCTTCCTGGGGCAGTGACCCACTGGAAAGCCCTGGGCACCCCAGGTAGCTTTCCTGAATTAAGGACTCCTCTGGCCCCAAGCAGGAAGCGGAGGCCCGGGAGGCCCGCGAGGCCAGGGAACCCTGCCCGCGGGGGAAGCAGCGGCTGGTGCGGATGCATGCGGTGTGCCCAGGGGTGGACAGCAGCTGCAGCCTCCTCAGCTCCACCGAGGTAAGCAGCTCTCCTGCTGCCCAGCTGCTCTGCCACGCACAGCCCCGGCACCCTCCATCTGGACCACGGGCGTCTCCACCCCCTTGTCCCGGTGGGGAGAGGTCAATACCACTGGGAGAGTCCAGTCAGTGAGAACCAATTCCCTGGCAGCTCTTGAGGCCAGAAATCTAGAATCAAAGGGTGTCAGCAGGGCCACACTCTGATAGCTCTCCAAGCTCCGGGTGGCTCCTGGCCTCCTCAGCTGGTGACCACATCACTCCAGGCTCTGCCTTCATCTTCCTGCGATGTGCCCTGTGGTTTCTCTGGGCCCACGTTTCCTCCTTTGAGAACATGAGTTAGTCAGCTTTCTAATGCAGACACAAAATGACTGAGGTCATCCACTTAATGGAAGTTAAACCTTCGCAACAGCCTTTTGACTCGGTTCCAGAGGTTTGGGCCGTGGCTGCTTGGCTCTGTTGTGTGAGCTGTGGTGAGGCAGTAGGGGGCGTTAAGCAAAGCCTTTACCTCATGGTGGCCAGAAGCAGAGAGGGAGAGGAGCGGGTCCCAGCACCCCTTCTGAGGGCCGCCCCCAACAACCTAACTTCCTCCCTCAGGCCCCACTTCCTAGAGGCTCCACCATCTCTGGCAGCACCACAGGCTGGGCCAGGCCCCTGGGCACACTCCAGGCAGGGAGGCCCAGGCGGGGAGGCCCAGGCTGGGGGAGTCAGGGCCCCTCTGGTCCATTCTGACTCCATCGGGGCTCCATTTCACCCAAAGATCCTAGTCCCAAAGGCACATCTCAGGTCACCAGTGGACGTGAACTTGGGGGTGCAGCTCTGTTGGGCCCAGAGGGCTCCTGGGTGGTCTGACCCACTGCAGTCTCTGGAACTTTGAGTCCCCAGCACCTGCTCATATCCTCTGGCAAAGCCAAGAGGTGGTCTCACCATAGAGGGCATGTGGGTCCAGCATGCCCAGGGTGAGGCAGAGGCACCCCTGCTAAGGGCTACCATGAGCTGGGAGAGAGGACCGGAGGCAGGCTAGCGCACTGGGCCACTGCCCCAGCTGGCCTTGGTGTCTCCTTCCTGCATGATAGCCTCCCCACACTGTCCTGCATCCCACAGGGCAACCTGCTCAGGCCCACCCGCTGGCCAATCTCTTGGACAGTTGTGGAGAGCCAGGCGTCCTCCCCAGAACCCTGACACACAAAGCCGGGGCCACTCCACATTCCACCAAGACTCCACGGCCAGAGCCATCCAGACGCCATGCTGGGCAGGAGCGGCTTCCGCCCTGTGCCCTCACTGCTCCAGGTGTAGCACATTCCTCCTGGCCGCCGTGGTAGGGACTGGGAAGCAAAGGGGCCTCAGCAGCTCCAAACTGGCTCCCTCCCTCCTGCACCTATGATGTCCCAGGGACCCACTCGTGGCTTCCTCTGGGCCTCAGCTACAATGTGCCACAGCCCCATGCCTGCCCACCTGGCTCCTCTGTCTCTTCCTCCAGGAAGGCACCAGGGCTTCCCCGCCCATGTTGTCCACACCCTGCTGAGGCATACCCCACTCCCTGGTGTACATTTGCCCATGGATCCCCTACCCCAGGAAGAACACCTGTCCTCAGGGGTACGTTGACACTAGCACAGGGCTCGGCACACAGTAGGGGCTCAGGGAATTCTCAGAAAGTAAATTCAGAGCAACTCTGTACTCCTGGGGTCCTCGTCAGACCCTGCTCTGAAAGCAGCCTC